ATGGAGGGGATGGGCCATGAGGAAATAAATGGTTTGGGAAGAGAAATCCCTGCTGGAGCTCCTCACCCGCTGGGAATCTCCTGGTTGAGTGGCCAGGATGGTTCCCTGCCTGTCCTGCATGTTGCCATCCCCTGTGTCCCCGCTGCACAGGCTGCTCGGTGGCACTGTCTCCTCACAGAGGAGGAGGGATCTGGGTTTCCCACCCCAAATTTGCTCCTTGGAGAGTCTGGACAGCCCCATCAGCCGTGGTGAAGGGCAGGAGAGGAGCACTGAGGGGACACCGGGGGCTGGCAGTGGCTGTTGGTGCCATCACTGGGGGAGCACCAGAGGAGGGGGTGTCCCTGAGTGTGACTGGGGGTGTTTTTGGGCTCTGGATCCTCACATCCCTCACATCCTTCCCTCCACACCCCCCTGAGCCTCACACAGACATCTCCAGCCCAGGATCCTCAGGGCCTGGCTCCATCCCCACCTCTTCCTCCTCCTCCTCCTCTCTCCTTTGCTCTTTTTTTTTATTTTTTTTCTTCCTTTTCTCTTTTTTTTTAAGCTCAGGCCCGTTTATCTTTGCTGAATTAAATCCTTGATTAACCCTTATCTGCCCAGTTTGGCTCCCTATCTCCCGGTTGGCGCCGTGTGTCCAGACACCCGGTACAGGATGATTGATTTCCCCAAGATATGCGCGGCTTTTTTTCTGATACTTCATTTATTGTCTAAATATTTTTGCTCCCATTTCAGCAGCTCCCTTATCGAGCCCGGCTGATGATTCCCAGCCCTGCTCTCCTCTGCCACTCTCCTCCCTCCCTATCTCTGCTCRGGGAAGGGAGGAAGGAATCGCAGCCCCATCCCTGATAGGCGCTGTCGCCCTCAGGTCCCTCTGTCTTTGTTGCTGGCGGCGCTGGGGGAGTGTGGAGGGGATCTCCCCCAAATCCTGCCGGGTTCTGCTCTTCATCTCCGTGTGGGAGACGGTGCCAGCCTGGGATTTTAGTGGGAGATTTAATATTCCCTGGTGTGGAGCACCGTGGAGGAGAAGAGGAGGGGAAAGAGAAGCAGCAGGAGGAGGAGGAGGAGGAGGAGGAAGATCCTCCCCACTCCAGCTGATCCCACAGGGATCCCCCAAAAGAATCCTTGCTCGGGAGGGTTGGAAACACGCTGGCTGCCAGCCCAGGGGTGCCAAGGGAGCGTGATCCCCCTGGGACTGTCCCCCAGTGCCYCCCCGGGGCAGGGGCCGTGCGGATGCGCCGTCCCGGCGGATGCGGAGCAGATAGGGTTTCCGATGGTTATCAGCCCTGTGGAGCGCACACAGCGACCTCTTTGTTCCAGGGAGAACAAGGAAGGGCTTCACAGCGGGGCTGGGGCCGCCCTGGGGAGCTGCAGTGGGCACCCCGGGGTGCTGGGAGCACCTTGGGGTGCTGTGGGTCCTGGGCAGCGCAGGGACATCCCTCTGTCATGGGGTACCCACAGGTGTCCCCATGCCCAGAGCACAATTCCAGAGAGACCCTCCTCTCCCCGAGGGTGCTCAGTGCCCATCCCTGCGTCCCATTCTGGGGGTCCCAAAGCCACCAGCCCCATTTCCCAAAGCCCCCAGCCCCATTTCCCAAAACGCCCAGCCCCATTTCCCAAAACGCCCAGCCCCATTTCCCAAAGCCCCCAGCCCCGTCTCCTGCATCTGAAGGGGCAGGTGGGTTCCCCCACCACTGGGAGAGGGGCACACACGTGTGCCAGTGTGTCACATACATGTGTTGGGCTGTCACACCCATGTGCCAGTGTGTCACATAAATATGCCAGGGTGTCACACATCTGTACCAGGGTGTCACACACATGTGCTGGGCTGTCACACACGTGCCAGTATGTCACACACGTGTGCCAGTGTGTCACACCCATGTGCCAGTGTGTCACATAAATGTGCCAGGGTATCACACACATGTGCCAGGATGTCACACCCGTGTGCCAGGCTGTCACACCCGTGTGCCAGTGTGTCACATAAATGTGCCAGGGTGTCATACCTATGTGCCAGTGTATCACACACATGTACCAGTGTGTCACACCCGTGTGCCAGTGTGTCACACCTATGTGCCAGGCTGTCACACCCATGTACCAGTGTGCCACACACATGTACCAGTATGTCACACCCGTGTGCCAGGGTGTCACACACAAGTGCCAGTGTGTCACACACATGTGCCAGTGCCTCACACGTGTGTTGGGGGCTTTATCACGCTGCCAGCACTCGGCTCCTGGCAGTGATAAGGCCCCAACCGGCTGCGACTGTCAGGCTGAGTTGGAGGGGTTGGAAATATTGGGATGGATAATTAGATTTCATATCGTTACTGCGGCAGCCATCGGAGGATCAGGGAGATTAATTCCCCCCCCCCCTTTTATGCTCATTAATATTCATTAGAATGCGGGGAGGCAGAGCTGGGCACAGCTGAGCGGGGAGCGCTGTGACCCCCTGGCACCCCAGGGGTGACCCCGGTGCTGACCCCCTGTCCCTGCCCCACAGAGCCCCCCCGTGACGCTGGTGCTGGGGGACGAGAGCTGCTGGCTGTCCCGCCTGCCCCTCGTGCCCGGAGAGCCCGATGCCAACGCCGTCATCTACAGGAAGGGTTGGTGTTGGGGGGAAATGGGGAAAAGGGGAGGGGTCCTGATCTGTGTCCCCTGTCCCACTGTCTGCTCCATGTGTCCCACGGTCCCTGTCCCAGCCTCCCTGGCTGGCTGCTGTCCCAGCAGGGATGGGTGCAGGAATGGCAGCAAGGACGATGTAAGGATGGACACGGGGGATGGATTCAGGAATGGGTGCAGGGATGGTTGTAAAGATGGGCACAAGGACAGGTTCAGGGCTGGGCACAAGGATTGGCACAGGGATGAGTGCAGAGACGGGTGTAAGGATTGACGTGGGGATGGGCACAAGGATGAATGCAGGGATGGATGTAAGGATTGATGCGGGGATGGACACAGGAATGAGTACAGGGATTGGCACAGGGATGATGCGGGAATGGGCACAGGGATACGTGCAGAGATGGGCACAGAGATGATGCGGGAATGGGCACAGGGATACGTGCAGAGATGGGCACAGAGATGATGCGGGGATGGGCACAGGAATACGTGCAGAGATGGGCACAAGCCGGAGCAGCGGCTCCGGGCAGGCTCTGCGGGGCTCAGCACGGGCAGACACCGCCATCTCCAGGCCACGGCCGGGAGGAAGCAGCGACCGCTGGCGGGACCGCGGGGACAAGGCGGGACAGAGGGGACAAGGCGGGACAGAGGCAGGCAGGCAGGCAGGACGGGATCCAGCGATCCCTTCTCAGCGCTATCCCCCCRCTCCAGAYGAAKCCCTGTGGTGCCGGACRACGCGCGCGCTGCGGGAGGACGAGCCCCTGAGCGCCTTCGTGGTGGCAGAGCCACCGGCTGTCCCCAACCACGGCGTGAAGGCAGAGCCCGGCGAGTCCCCGTACCCGGCCGCGCTGCACTCGGATATCCAGCTGCTGCCACAGCAGGCCGGCATGGCCGCCATCCTGGCCACCGCCGTGGTCAACAGTGAGTCCTGGGGACGGGCGGGCAGGGACACACGGCACCACCGGGGCTCCCTGGCCTGTCACACGAGCCACATCCTTGTCCCTTGCTCTCCACAGAGGATGTGTTCCCCTGCAAGGACTGCGGCATTTGGTACCGGAGCGAGCGCAACCTGCAAGCGCACCTGATGTACTACTGYGCCAGCCGGCAGAGCGCCGGCGCCGGCTCGCCAGCCCTGGATGAGAAACCCAAAGAGACCTATCCCAACGAGAGGGTCTGCCCCTTCCCCCAGTGCAAGAAGAGCTGCCCCAGTGCCAGTTCCCTGGAGATCCACATGCGGAGCCATAGCGGTATGGCATGGCATGGCACGGCATGGCACCCTTCCTCTGGAGGGGCAGGGGGGTTTTGGGGTGGCTGCACGGTGACCAGTTAAATGGGACTCTTCCCTAGTTGAGTCACTTGTAGATCTTTCCCCGTCTGAGCCCAGTAGACACAGAGGGATTTGGCCCTGTGGGTGTCCCTGTGGGATGTCCCCATGGTCCCTGTCCCCCTCCCCTCCACACTGAGTGTCCGTCTGTCCGGCAGGAGAGCGGCCGTTTGTCTGTCTGATCTGCCTGTCTGCCTTCACCACCAAAGCCAACTGCGAGCGGCACCTGAAGGTGCACACAGACACCCTGAATGGTGAGTGTCCCATGGGAGCAGCCCTGTCCCCTCCAGGGGTGAGTGTCCCATGGGAGCAGCCCTGTCCCCTCCAGGGGTGAGTGTCCCATGGGAGCAGCCCTGTCCCCTCCAGGGGTGAGTGTCCCATGAGAGCAGCCCTGTCCCCT